ATAAGCAGCCTTTTACGATGCACTTTTGAATATAATTTTTTTCAATCACAAAGCAAAATGCTTATACATATATTTAGTAATTAGATGGATATTTAATAAATAAATAATAAATATTAAAATATTTGATATCATGATACGATGAATTATGTGTTTAATTATGTTTAACAATTATGTTTTCTAGAGTTTTTTTAATGATCTAATAAAAGATAATAAAAAATTCATATTAATATTGAAAAAAAACCTAAAAAATATGAAAAAAAAAACAGGTCAAAACTGTATAAATACACTAATTTATTGAGCATAAATATATGATTGAGATGATAATACGAAAAGAAAAACTTTTTACTGGATAATGATCAATCCTGGTGATGTCCAAAGTGTACATCACAAATTTTATAACTTGCCATGTGCAACAAATATATCACAACCTAAATTGAATAAATTATACTGAAGTAAGATCTAATATTAGAAAGTTAACGGAAATAAATGTACCTTTGCCCGTCCCTTCAACAAAATACTGAGCTGTATATTAATTCTCAGAGACAATGATATCTAGTTGTTCTAACTAATCCCTATAGTTTTAAATATGTTTACAATTCCGTCCCTTCATTAATTTTTCGTTAGTAAAATGTTGAGCTGTCAGCAATGTTTCCTTAGTTTGTGCCGCTAACTTAACGGTAAAATGTGATTCAAGGATCAATTAATTATTTAAATGACCTTGAGGGATTAATCTGTTTGTTTAACAAAAATACAGACACTAGTTTAATAGAATTCACCTCATATTTTAATCAACATATACGTGCGTGCGCGCGTGCAAGCAAGTGTTTACTCGTTGATGTTTTTTAGAAGGAATCTGGAAAAGAATAAAGGCTATGTTTGTTTCCCGGAAAATAGTTTCCGGGAAACCACTTTCCAAACTTTCCTGTGTTTGTTTGTCATTAGGAAAGTTGGTCAACGGAAAACATTTTCTGGTCAACAAAAAACACTTTCCAGTCAAAGGAAAATTTGGCTTGATTTTCAGGAAAGTGTTTTCATTTTTAGCTGTGTTTGTTTTCCGAAAAGTAGTTTCCGGGAAAATACTTTTCAAACTTTCTTGTGTTTGTTTTGCAGAAAGTGATTTCTGG